AGGAACCGAACCGAACCAGTAAATTCGGTTCGGTTCGGCTCGGTTTTCCCGGTTTTCCGGTTCTAAGTCCCAGGCCTACTGATAAGCTCATTTCAGATCTCAAAGCTCATGAGTTTGAAATGATTGAAGAAAAAGAAGATGTACCAGAAGAGAGGACCACTACAGCCCTCACTGTCAGCACATCAAAGGTAAATGATTTTGACCCCTCAGTACTTTTATCTGACGAGTATATGGCTGCTTTTGCTAGGAGATTCAAAAAGTTTATGAAGAATCCCAAAGATGGAAGAAGTCCATCATTCAGCAGAAAGCCCTTCCAGAAGGTCAAAGCAATAGAGAGCAGTGGTGAGCTTCTCTGTTACAACTGCAGACAACCTGGACATTTCAAGGCAGAGTGTCCACATCCAAGAGTGTCCAAGAAACAAGGGCATGATGGAGAAAAGAAGAAATATGAAGACAATTCCAGAAGAAGGAAAGCACTCGTGACAGAACAGCTCGAGAAAGACCCTCTGTCTGAGACAGAATCCAATTCTGACTCTGACTCTGATGAGGCCTTCTGTTGCCTTGATACTGAGACAGAAGACCTATGCCTCAAGGCTCATTCTGATGATGAGGTAACCTCTACTTCTGCATCTAGTGTTTCTTCGGTAGACTTAGCTTTTGATTCTGATTCAATGTCAGAATTTTGGGAAGAGTTTAAGGCCATTCAAGCCACTTATTTCTCTGTCACAGAAGAAAACAGTAAGCTGAAGGCTGAGATTCTTGACTTAAGAAAGGAGGTTGAGATCAAAATCAATCTTCTAATTAAGGAGAGAGATCAGCTGGAAACTGAAAATGTTTCTCTTCTCAAGACAATAAGAGAAATTGAGCCTCTTGAGATTAAGTACAGAGCTTACCAGAAGGACCAGTCTTCCATGGAAAAGATTCTGCTTGATCAACAAATTGGCATTGGCTTTGGTCTTGGTTATGGCTCAACAGAATCAGGTGAACCTTCTGTAATGCCTAACACCAGTGTTGCTAAGGCAGACAAGGTCATAGTGCCACTGATCTCTAGCCCCATCTGCCAAGCTGGTGTATCTGGCACCAAGGTTGTTCATGAGGAAGTCAGACCAGAAAAAGGGAAGATAAAGGTTCAACAGAAACCCTTTTTGAAAAATAATGAACCTGGCAGAAAACCTAACAACAGAAAGAGTTTTCAAAATAACAAAAATAAAAGACCATTCATTAATAGACAACCTCATGATAACCGTGCCAGAAATGACCACCAGAAGGGTAGATATCAAGAGAGAGTTAACTTTAGGCAGAAGAGGTTGGCTGGTCAACTTCAGAAGCCCAGAGCTAACCGTTCCTCTACTCTTGATAGTATATGGGACTTCTTTCCAACAAAGAAAGCTATGCAAAAGTACGTAAACAGGAAGCATGGCCCTCACAAGCATCTGCCCAAAGTGAATCACACTTCAGTTTACTATAACTACCAGGTGGACAATGGGTACCATCCACCAAGGTTTCACCTGATGAGACCTAAATGGTACCAACTACCCAGACTCCATGACCCCCAGGACCCAACATTGCTTGGGTACCTAAACCTTTCTTTTGATCTTGCAGGAACTGTGTGCTGGACCTATCTCAGAGCAAGAATGGTTTATTGATAGTGGATGCTCCAGGCACATGACAGGTGATAGAAGTTGCCTAACAGAGTTCCAGAAATGCAAAGGACCTAGAGTTACCTTTGGAGGTAATGACAAAGAAGGTCAAACAAAAGGAAGAGGGAAGCAGATCAAGAACCAGATAGTCATTGATGATGTCTCTTATGTCAAAGGCTTGAAGTTCAACTTGCTAAGTGCTAGCCAATTCTGTGACAAAGGCTACACTAGTGAATTCACTAAGGACTTCTGCTATGTGAAGCATGAGACAACAAAAGAAGTGGTTCTTACAGCATCAAGGAAGAAGAACATCTATGTGGTTGATTGGTAAACTGCAAAGGATGGAGTTTGCCTGATAGCCAAGGGAGATTCAAAACTAAGCTGAGACTGGCACAAGAAGCTTAGCCATTTGAACTTCAAAACAATCAACAGACTGGCAAGAGAACACATTGTTGATGGACTGCCAGACATAGTTTACAAGAAAGAGACCCTCTGCAGTGCATGCCAGAAGGGAAAGCAACAGAAGAACTCTTTCAAACCCATTGCTGGAGATCTTTCTACGAGTCCTTTAAATCTGATACACATGGATTTATTTGGACCCGTTGAGACTCCAAGTGTAGGTGGCAAGAAATACACCCTAGTCATGGTTGATGACTACTCCAGATATACATGAACTATCTTTCTGTCAAAGAAGAATGAAACTCTTCAGAAGTTGCTATCTCTGTTAAAGCCACTTCAGACTGAGAAGAACTTGAAGGTTAAGACAATCAGGTCTGACAGAGGAACTGAATTTGTCAACCAAGTCATAAAGGACTTCTGTGATCAAAATTGAACCTTTCATCAACTCTCTGCCGCCAGAACCCCTCAACAGAATGGCGTAGCAGAAAGGAGGAACAGAACATTAAAAGAAGCTGCAAGGACAATGATTGCAGAATCTGGACTACCTATGAGATACTGGGCTGAAGCAATCAACACTGCATGCTATACCCAGAACAGAAGTATGATCAATAAGAATCATCAGAAGAACCCTTATGAACTTTGGAAAGGAAGAAAACCTAACATCAGTTACTTTCATGTATTTGGATGCAAATGCTACATTCTTAACAATGGAAAGGAACATCTGAAAGTCTTTCAAGAGAAAGCTGATGAAGGTGTATTCATAGGCTATTCAAACACCAGTAAAGCCTATAGAGTACTCAACAGAAGGACTCTACATGTTGAAGAGTCTATACATGTGAAGTTTAATGATAGCACCTCTGTTAAAGAAGTAACAGAGACCCTCAAAGAAGTCAACATAGAAGACAGAACACCTGAACTAACAGAAGAGGTAGCAGATAACCCTGCATTTCCAACACCTGCACCAAACCCCCTTCTGTTGAATGAAGATGAAGATTCAGAAGATGAAGAACCATTGAGACCCAGACAGCATCTGATAGAACCTGATCTGACATGGTTAAGAGACCATCCCCCTAACCAAGTAATTGGACATATCAGAAGTGGTGTGCAGACCAGATCAGCATCAACAAGGAGAGAAGCAATGCTTGCCTGCTATATATCTCAGATGGAACCCATGACTGTAGAAGAAGCATTTGCAGACTCAGATTGGATCAACGCAATGCAAGAAGAGTTGACTCAATTTGAAAGGAACAAAGTATGAGAACTTGTTCCTAGGCCAAAGCACCAGAATGTCATTGGAACAAAATGGGTATTCAAGAACAAAGCTGATGAAGATGGCAACATTGTAAGGAATAAAGCAAGGCTGGTAGCTAAGGGTTACTGCCAAGAAGAAGGAATAGATTTTGATGAGACTTTTGCACCAGTTGCTAGACTGGAAGCCATCAGAATATTTCTAGCCTATGCTGCCTACAACAACATCAAGGTCTACCAGATGGATGTCAAGAGTGCATTTCTGAATGGAGATCTTGAAGAAGAAGTTTATGTGGAACAACCACCAGGTTTTGTCATTCCTACTCACTCCTCCTGTGTGTACAAGCTTAAAAAGGCCCTCTATGGTCTTAAGCAAGCTCCCAGAGCATGGTATGACACATTGTCCCTATTCCTAGTGAACCATGGGTTTACTAAGGGAAAGGTTGACAAAACTCTATTTCAAATCTCTGTTGCTAATCATATTCTGTTAGTACAAATATATGTTGATGATATTATATTTGGTATTACTAATTCAGAACTGTGCAAGAAATTCTCTCAAGTGATGCAGAGTCAAACTGAAATGAGTATGATGGGAGAACTCAGCTACTTCCTAGGACTACAAGTCAAACAGGTTCCAGAAGGAATCTTTATCAATCAAGGGAAGTATACCAGAGACCTGATCAAGAAGTTTGGAGTGGAAGGCAAATCCTCAGTGAAAATCCCCATGAACACCTCACAAGGAATTGGTCCGGATGATGAAGGCAAAGATGTTGATGCAACTACCTACAGAGGAATCATAGGATCTCTGCTGTATCTGACTGCAAGCAGACCAGATATCTCATTCTCTGTTGGAATCTGTGCCAGATACCAATCAAAGCCCAAGGAGAGCCATCTTAGTGCTGCAAAGAGAATCATCAGATATATCAAAGGAAATCCAAATACAGGCCTATGGTATCCAAAGGGAGGTAACTTTGAACTAATTGGTTACTCTGACTCAGATTTTGCAGGTTGCAGATTAGACAGGAAGAGCACCTCTGGTCACTGCCAAATGCTAGGAGGAAGACTTGTTTCCTGGTTTAGCAAGAAACAGAATTCAATCTCAACAAGTACAACAGAAGCTGAATACATTGCAGCTGGGAGTTGCTGTGCTCAACTACTCTGGATGAAGCAACAGTTGAAAGATTATGGCTTTCAAGCAAAGGAGATCAAACTGCTATGTGACAACACCAGTGCCATTGTCATCACTCAGAATCCAGTTCTTCACTCCAGGACAAAGCACATTGAGATCAGACATCACTTCATCAGAGATCATGTTGAAAAGAAGCACATATGATGGAGCATGTGTCAACAGAAGACCAGCTTGCAGACATTCTGACAAAGCCTCTGCCTGAGGCTAGATTCAACAAACTAAGAGAGGAATTGGGAATGATGGATGAAATTCCAAGAGAAAGTTGAAAAGGAAGACCTTCTGTTGCATACTCTCTGCTAACAGAATACCTGCTGCAGAACCCCTTTTGTTCTCTTTCCAGAACAGAGAACTTCCGTTCTTGACAGAACACCTCAGCAACAGAAACCCTTCCTTCTTACCCTCAGAAACCCTTTCCTGTAACAGAAGGTTGTGGACTTAGAAATATTTTGAGAAACCGGGTGACCTAGTAACTTAATGAAGGTCTTTTACCCTTTTACCCTTAAAACGATATACAGCCGCAAAATATTTACTGCGCCCCTTTTTTCATTTATTGGTACCTCGGAACCGTAAATAATCTCAAGCGTCCACTAACCCGAACCCATATATTCCTCTTCCTCAAACCTAAACCGTTACCGCTTTCATTACTCTCAAATTCTCAAACCTCCATAGCTCTCAAGTTCTCAAAAACTTTTCCCTGCTCTAATGGCTTTCATTAACATCAACGACCTCACCAAAGAAGAAATCAATACCTTGGTCACTAACATCTATACTGGGATGAATTGCGATCTTTCCGCACTCCCTGAACTCGCAGCAAATCATGATACGATGATGAAAATCATCAAGGGAATGGAGGAATCACAACTAAACAAGGTTGTAGGTTATCATTTCGATTCCTACAGTACGATGGACGTGGCAGAATTCTATCTCAATGCTACATATGAAGGGGAGACTATCAAATCAAATGTCAATGGTGATGAGATTATCCTCACTCCAGAAACTATCAACGCTCTATTTGGTGTAGTGGAGGATCCTCAAGAAGAAGACACTAAAGGCTTCTTAGCCCTAGACAGTGTCAAGGTCATTGTTGATAACTTTGTCCAACTCTACTGCAGACCTGAAGTGGATAGAGTTCCCAAATTGTACATGAAGAAGAATCTTCTTCAGAGTGATTATGAGAAGCTAGTCAACATCTTCCATAGGTGTGTCTGGAGCAAAAGCACCTCTACTGACGATATGACAGTCCTCAATGCAAAAGATGTTTTTGCAGTTCATCATGGGATGAACATCAACTGGGGACATGTAATCATCAAATCCCTAGTTGAATTTATCAAAAAGAAAGACAAGGAAACCCACCTTTTCAAAACCCCCATGGGTTATGGCCTTCTGATATCAGAAACCCTGCTAAAGGCAAGGATAGGGCTGAGAAACCCTATTGAGACAGACTACACCAAGTTACTTTTCCTCAACACCTCTGGTGACAGAAAGATTGCCCTCAAGGCTGAACAGAAGAGGCTGAGGACTCTGGAATTTAACCTGGAGAAGCTCCAACAGAAGGTGCTCAAACCCAAGAAGGCTGTGAAGAAACAGCAGAAACCCTCTACCCCATCAGAATCCGAAGAAGAAGAGGTTCTGATAAGAAAACCTGTGAAGAAGGTTGTTATGAAGAAGGCTGCCCCAGCCAAAGTTCAGAAGCTGGTGGCAAAGAAGTCTGTAATTAAGATAAAGGCACCTTCCCCTATATCTACAGAAAGCACCCCCACTGCCTCTCCCATTCTAAAGATGGCCAAGATTCTGACTCCTGCAATACAGGAGGAGCTTGAGGATTCTGTCACCTCTGCCCTTGTCAACAGAAATGCCTGGCAAGGCAAGAGGATTGTCTTTGAGTCAAGTGACTCTGAAGAGGAGGTAGCAGTACTGGATGCTACTATTCAGGGGAAATCTCACAGATCTCCCTCTACACCTATGGCTGATCAACCCATGATGCCTTCCTCACCAGAATATCATGAAGTTAACAGAACCCCCGAGCCCCAAGAACCTCAGGAAAATATCCCCTCTGCTCTAGACAAAGAATTTCTCAGGGTTCTGGCTTGGAGAAAGTGGAGAGTGAGATCTCTCTCTGAACTGCTCATAATGCTCCCCAACTTTATAACTGAAAAAGCTGAAGTTCTAAGGTGGACTGGTACAGAGGATGTTGAACAATGCCTCAACAAGGACTTCCTTCTATCTGTTCTAACAGAGAAGAAGAAGAAGGAATGCAAAGGGAAAGGCAAGCACACTCATGATAATGAAGAAGAGCATGTCAAAGCTCTGACAGAAGATGAAATGGCAACCTTTGATGAATGGCTGATTGAAAAGAAGAGGAAAGAATCCCTTATCAAATTCCGTCACAATGCTCATGGAGAAGGGGAACCCTCCAATGCCAATGATCTCCCCTTGACCATGGAGAAGCTTATCAAAGAATGGAGGGACTCACCATTCACAGAAACCATACTTGAGGTAATCCCTAAATCTCCCTCTATTCATACAGAACCCCATTTTCCTTCTCCTCCCATATCATCTCCTAAACCTCAAACCCTCACCCAGAATCCCAACTCCTTTTGCGACTCCACCCCAATCTCCTCACCAGAAATCCCCATCCCCACAAGAATCTCTCCCACCACAGAAAACAACTCCTCCACAGAATACCCCCTCACCCTCACCCCAGAAAACTCCTTCTGTCAAATCCAAACCTTCTTCCCCTTGTAAACCAACACCCTCTCACAGAAATCGTTCTCCTTCACCTCCACCATCTCCTCCACAACAGAAAATCCCTTCTCCCCAACCAACACCCCAACACCAGAAAACCCCCTCAACTCATAAATCCCCTACTTCACCTCAACAGAAGTCACCCTCTCCTGCAGCAAATTCTCCAAGAACCTCTCTACATTCTGCCGCATCTACTCCCAAGAGACAGCCTCTACACCGTATCCTCTCTTCTGATAGTGAGAATGATGGTTTCCTTCCATCCTCCCTTGCTGGAGATCTCACCTCTAAATGACAACCAACTCCTGCCAGAGAACCTTCTCCTCAGAAACCTTCTCTGCAACAAACCAGAAGGCCCCCTATGCACAGGTCCAGAGGACTGGGGATGCCAGAACCTGCAGGGACAGAACCCCAAATTCCCTTCAACCAGTTCATTGAAGCTGCAGAAGAATTTGGTGGTCAAATTTTGGATGGCATGAACAAACTGATACAAATCAACGACAAACACTTTGAGCACCTATCCCACGTCAATGACACCTTCAATTCTGGTATGGACTTCATCTCATCCCGCTTTGCTGCCCTAACAGAATCCTTATACAACTTCATGGATTCATCCACTGCTAAGACTAAAGCTCTTTCCACTGAAGTAGAAGACATTCATAAGACCTTATTCACATTTCACCAAACCTTGCTGACCTAAGGTGAAGCAATTCACACCATCTCTACCAACCTTGAAGCACTTCAATGGGCTGATACCAAAACTAAAGAGCAGCTGTTAGAGATTGAGGAACTCTGCAAAGTCCACCGCGATCAAACCAGAACTCTGTTTTCTGATGACAAAGAGAGATACCAGAAATTGGTTCTCCTTGAAGCAAGCTCCAAGGATATTACCTCAGCTCTTCAAAAACAACAAGGTCTGATAGAAGGGTTCACTTCTGTTACACAGACCCTTCCAGAAACCCTTGAACAGATTGCCACATCCCAGGCCACAGAATTTCAGAAGATTGCTATGATGATCTCTGACCTGGATGATGCCAAAAAGGGGGAAGAGGACCCTCATCCAAAGAAGAAGCAACTTGCCAGAACCTCAGTTGGCCCCTCTGCTGATCCAGCTCCTTACTTTCAGGCTTCCATGCAAAAGAAGAAAGAAGCTGGAGTCTCTAGATCCTCATCTCCCCACAGAACCTCATCCAAGAAGAGAAAAGCTCTAAACTTCAGGGAATGGAGATTAAATGGATCTCAGAGGATAGGCATAGCTCAGTTTGAAGAAATTCAACAGAAAATGACCCCTACACAGCAACATAACCTCTACCTTGACAGAGAAGGTCAAATAAGAGTGAGGCATGGCGGATCACTGGAAGAAGCTGAGTACTGGTACCTTAACAAAATTCTTCCAGGGAAGGACGTCCATGCAGGTGTCCTCAACTACCTTGACTGCAAGCTTTCACCCATTTGGGCATCCTATCAAAGAGCTGGGAACCTCACAGCTATTAGAGAAGAAGTCAATACTGAGCTGAAAAGACTAAAAGAATTGGATGATCAAGCCATAGCTAATGCTGCAAGGGAAAATTTGTAAAGGAACACCCCTACTCTTTCCCTTAATAAAAGATCATCTCTGCCTTTCACTTTGTAAGGCTATTTCTCAATTTCTGTCTCTGCTTTTTGTTTTTGATTGATTGCTCTTTGATTTATTATCTGCTATCTGATTGTACTGTACTCTTACTATTTTCCTATGCCAAGTTGCCCACCAAGATTTTAATGAACGTTTTAAACTTTAATTCTTTATGGTGAAGGCACTTCTCTGGAAATAGTTAAAGGGTTTTGGCATAATCAAAAAGGGGGAAATTGTAAGGAATATTTGTAATTAGATTTTGATGATGCTATATTAATTAGGACTTTAGAGTACCCCTCTTTAGATTTAATGTATTAGAATTTTCCTTGTAAAGTTCTTTAGTATAATCGACTGGCAGAAGGCCTCCAGAGCAGAAGGCCTCCAGAGCAGAAGGCCTCCAGAACAGAAGACCCTCTGACAGAGGACCCTTGATAAGGCTTTGTTTTAACAGAAAACCATTGGTTCTCTGCTCCAGAACAGAAGACCTCAGGGTCTCTGTTAGCCTTTACTCTGACAGAAACCCTCTTGGTTCTCTGCTGGATATTTCTTCAACAGAAACTCTCAACAGAAGTGCTCAAGGCCTTCTCTGATCAACACTCTGCTAAAGACACCAGAAGGCCTGACACTTAGAAGAATCTCACCCAGTCGGTAAATCAACTGAAAGATCCCTTCAACGGCTAGGAGTCTTGAACGGAAAAGCTACAGTACGCGCATTAAATGCACATTTAATGCCTCCCGTACTCTGTAGAGTAATTGCAGATGATTGGCCACAATGTCAGGATAGCTTTATCCTGAAATAGTAACCCGCCAACTTTGCAGGGTCCTACTGGTCAAGTCAACTGCTCGCTCATTTAATGCAGTTGTCCTCCTTCTCCTCCAACGGGAAGACAACCTCAGTATAAAAGATACACTTCGAAGAACAACCGGATAACTTTGCTACCACAGTGCGCATACAAAATATTCAAACGCTAAAAACGCAAAAAGCCTCCTTGAGATTAAATCTTCATTATCTTCTACAAGAGAAGGCAGACGTTAGAAAGCTTCCTACTTCCAACTCAAACAAAGTTCTCATCGTTCTTCAACTCTTCAAGCACTTCATATACAAACCTTTTGTAACGAAGCAAGTTGGAGGAACCCCTGTTTTTAACAGAAACTCTTCTTTCACAAGAAGGACGTCCAAGTACCTGGAGCAGTGAAGTGGTGATACTTCCGGGAAATCTCAGTGAAAGGATCAGTCTTAGGGAAGCCAGAAGTGCATCCAAGGAGACATCTACACTTGAAGAAGACGTGGAGAGCTTCTTAAGTGATAGGGCTAAGGCATTGTAAACAGTCATTTTTACAAGCTTAGTGGAACAGTGGACTAGAGGAACAAGTTGTTCCTTGAACCACTATAAAAAGCTCTGGTGTCATTTACTTACTGCATTTTATTTATCGCTTTTATTTGAACTGCTTAACTCCAAAGACTTGGTATCTGTGTTCAGCAGAATTTGTCTTGTGAGTTAACAGAAGGCCTACTGCCTTTGCTTCTCCGAGGCTAAACTAACAGAACCCCCTACCAGAACCTCATCCGCTGCTAGTCTGTTCTGCCAACAGAATAGGCTATTCTGTTAAATCTGGTACTTAGCTTGAAAAAGTTAAAAACCAATACAGTCTATTCACCCCCCTCTAGACTGTATCCAGTACAACCGGGACCAACAAACAAAACTAAATACTTAACAAATTCCCCCTTTTTGTTGATGACAAACCTTAGGTGCGAAAATATCCCGCAGTTTAGACAAAATATAGGATAGTAGTAGTTTAAGGTAGCAGCAGTAACGTAATGAGGAAGCACCTGATTATTTCCCCCTTTTGGCATCAACCAAAAGGAAATGGAAAATAACCAAAACAGTGCTAGAAAAGTTATAAAAGTAATAAAAGTAATGTCCTTCTACCCAGAATAGTAAAAGTATTTGAAAAATGTTTTTGTCACTCCTCATCAGATGAGGACACGATCCTTCGTCCCATGCTACTGCCACCGGTACTGAGCTTCTCGAAAAAATCAAATTTAAAGGCTTGAAGATCACTCCTGATAGTTCCTGTAGCCTCTGCAAGCTGATCCACCCTACCAGCCAGGCTATTGAGGGCTTCAGAGATAGAGTCAAACTGGCGAAGTATAGTGCGCTCCATTAGGTAGAGTTGATCCTTGACTAAGAGCACAGACTGCATAGGATCTGTGGAGGCAGCTGGACAAGGTTTGAAGCTAGATCTTGGAGGCTTAGAACCAGGAGTAGGAACAGCATTTTCTTTGTAAACTAGCTTAGAGTCCTGGATAATGATACCAAAGTTTTGTAGGCCACAGATGTCAAGGGATTTATGAATGACTTGGGAGGACATGTCGTTAACAGAGATTCCCTTTTTGACACAAAGAGTCATCAGAATAGGGCCAAACGGAATTCCTATTTTTCTACCGGCATCACTGATAATAAATTTCAGATGTGAAATGATAAGTCCTGGTAGATTGATAGGAGTCTTGGTAGCAAGAAGATACATGTATGTTAGTTCTAGGTGAGATGCTATAAGCCTACCTTCGAGTCTTGGCAGTAAGTTTGAGTGAACAAAATAGAAAAGTAGTTTGTGGATGGGGGACAGGTTTCCTACAAGCAGAGAGGACCCAGTTTCAGAGGGATCAAAAAATCGTAGGGCATCGGTTTGAGAAACAGTAGTGAGTGGCCATTCCCTTTTGTCATAAGGACAAACTCCAGTGGAAGGAACATCTAAAAGCTCACCTAAATCATCACTGTCTAGGCGAAACTTGACATTGTTAACTCGAGACACTAGTACACCCTTCATGATAATTAAATTAGCAAAGAAATCAGAGAGAATTTCTGAGGACACTGGACAGCAGTTTTTGGAATCAAATAAGGCACACCATTTTTGAAAAGTGATCAATTCAACAAAATCAGTGGTTTTGGAGGAAAACTCATCCAGGGGAACGGCCATTACCTTAATAGGACTTCGTTCCAGGTAGGCTTGTTTCAGGCGGAGAACATCTTCGTCAGCCACTTTACCCATTTTTTGATATTTCTCGGTGGAGCCATCTTCGGAGATGATGCCATCTACGATGGCTCTTTTGTGAGTATACTTCTGGGGCAAAGCCTTTCCTTCACGAGTGGGTGGTTTAGCCTTGTGTGGCTTAACAGGAGGGGAATTGGGAAAAGAGGATTGATTCACGTCTGGTTCCCCCTGAGAAGAGGCGGGGGACGGTGGTAGTAACCCGGATAGTTCAAAATGTTGGTGTTGCATGTTGGAAGGAGGCAGAGATTCGAGATCTATTGGAGTGGATGAAGACGGTTGTGATGGTTGTGTGTTTCTTTTCTGACCAGAGCGACGAAGTGAGGTGGGCGGATCACTTCCTCATTTGGTTTTAACCATGGTGATAAGGGAAGAAGGAAGGAGGAGTTTATGGAAGGTGGGTGAGTTTGGGCGGCTGCATAGATACTTGAGGATCCTTTTACTCTTCCCCAAAAAAAATCTTAATGATTTCTTCTAAGAATTAAATTAATATCCTAATTTTAGCTCCACGACCCAAAAATATTTTTACACCCTTTAATACTTTGTTAATTTTGGCAGTTCGAAGATCAGGTCCATTCATAAAACTACCTACCCTTTTTAACGGAATCTATGAAAATCAAGTAGAAAGATTCCCCCTAAGTTGGAACGTAATTTAAAATTCATGATCCAACAAAAATTAAAAATTTAAAGGAGAAAATAATTTTAAGCATTGATAAGACCGAGTTTAAGTCGAATTAATTCAAACCTTTCTCGTCCCAGAGGCTTGGTAAAGATGGCAGCAATTTGCTTGTCGGTATTGCAATATTCCAGTTTGATTAACCCCTTTTCCACACAATCTCTCAGAAAATGATGACGGATATGGATATGTTTCGTCCGAGAATGCATGACCGGATCTTTAGAGATGCTAATTGCGCTAGTATTGTCACATAGAATGAGCGTGCAATTTAAGGCAATTCCGTAGTCGCTCACTTGTTGCATGATCCATAGTGATTGGGAACAACATGATGCGGCTGCTATGTATTCAGCTTCGGCCGTGGAAAGAGCAACTGAATTTTGTTTCTTTGAACTTCATGAAACTAAGCAAGGACCTAGAAAGTGAGCCGTTCCAGATGTGCTTTTTCTATTCAGCAAATCACCTGCAAAATCACAGTCTGAATATGCAATAAGATTAAAATCCTCATTACGTGGATACCATTAGCATAGATTCATAGTTCCTTTGAGGTATTTGAGGATCCTCTTGACTACTTTGAGGTGTGACTCCTTAGGATTTGCCTGGAACCGAGCACATAGACCTACACTAAAAACAATGTCAGGTCTACTGGAAGTTAGGTACAGTAGGGACCCGATCATTCCTCGGTACATCTTCTGGTCTATGATTGTTCCTTTTTCATCTGCATCCAGCCTGTCATTTGTTCCCATAGGTGTTGTCATTGTTTTGCTTTCACTTGCTCCATACTTCTTGAGTAGTTCCTTAAGATATTTTTGTTGGGATATTTGGGTTCCTTTGCTTGTTTGTTTGATTTGTAGACCGAGGAAAAAGTTTAATTCACCCATCATACTCATTTCGAATTCGGAGCTCATGAGAGAGGAAAATTCATCACAAAGTGAATCGTTAGTAGCACAAAAAATAATATCGTCTACATAAATTTGAACTACCAATAGGGCTTGATCTTTTATTTTTAGAAAAAGAGTTTTGTCTATTTTTCCTCTTTCAAAACCATTTTCCAAAAGAAATTTATATAGTCATTCATACCAAGCACGAGGTGCTTGTTTGAGACCATAAAGTGTTTTGTCTAGTTTAAAAACATGATTAGGAAAATCTGGATTTTCAAAGCCCGGTGGTTGTTCCACGTATACCTCTTCCTTAAGGTACCCATTCAAGAAGGCCGTTTTCACATCCATTTGGTGGAGGGTGAAACCCATATGAGCCGCAAATGCAATGAGCATTCGGATTGCTTCTAGCCTTGCCACTGGTGCGAAAGTTTAATTTCATTGAAGTCTATCCCTTTTTGTTGATTATAGCCTTTGACAACAAGCCTCGCCTTGTTCCTTGTGATTTGTCCATGCTCATCAAGTTTGTTTTTAAATACCCATTTGAGACCTATCACAGTTTTGTTCATGGGTCATGATTCCAGATGCCACACCTTGTTCCTCTCGAACTGATTTAGTTCTTCCTGCATAGCTAGAACCCAGTCAGCATCGGAGAGAGCCACTTCATGGTTCTCCAGTTCTATAAGTGATAAATAATAGCAAAGAAAGCGCAAAAATTTCTAAGTTTAGATCTAGTTGTTACTCCCTGATTTAGATCTGTTAAGAGGTTATCCAGGGAATGTGATCAATGATGCTTCCATCCTCTTGGTGCATTTGATTGATCCACCAATTCGTATAAGGTGTCTGGAACTGGACCTACTGGTTCTACAGTCTGGCTGGTTGTGATCTGTCCTGGTCCTTCTTCCGTTCTAGACTCGGTTTGTTCATTATCCCGTGGTTCCTCAAGGTTTGTTCCAACGTTTTCTTGAGGCTGATTTTCTTTGCGAGAGATTCCTATATCTCCTTCATCATCTTGCCTTGGTTTCGATGAAAGGGCTTCATCAAAAATTACATGGATACTTTCTTCCGCACATTGTGTGTGTTTGTTTAGAACTTTGTAGGCTTTGCTATGAGTAGAGTATCCAAGAAAGATTGCCTCGTCACTCCTTACATTGAATTTTCTAATATTGTCCTTCCTGTTATTGTGGATGAAACATTTGCATCCAAACGTTCTTAGATGGCTAATGTTGGGCTTTCTTCCTTTGAGTAATTCATAGGGCGTCTTTCCTAGGAGCGGACGGATCATGGCTCTATTAATGATGTAGCATGCTGTGTTTAGAGCTTCTGCCCAAAAGTTTCTTGCTAGACCACTGGAAATTAGCATTGTTCTAGTCATGTCCTCCAATGTTCTATTTTTGCGTTCTACAACCCCGTTTTGTTGGGGAGTTCTAGGGGCAGAAAAATTGTGGTCTATGCGTCGTTCCTTGCAGAGTGTATCAAAAAGTGAGTTGTCAAACTCAGTTCCATGATCCGATCGGATCTTAATTAATTGTAGCCCTGTTTGATGCTCAACTTTCCTTACAAAAATAACAAACTCATTAAATGTATCTTTCTTGCTTGCAAGAAAGATAGTCCAAGTATATCGTGAAAAGTCATCAACAATAACTAAAACATATTCCTTGTTTCCCCGACTTCAGACTGACATTGGACCACACAAATCTATATGAATTAGTTCAATGGGCTTGCTTGTGCTCACCAAATTCTTTGTTTTAAAAGATGATCGAGATTGTTTTCCGGTGGCACAAGCAGAGCAAATATGATCAAGTGAATATTTTATTTTAGGAAGCCCGACTACCAAATCATTATTTTTGAGTTTATTCATTAATGAAAAACTAGCGTGTTCAAGCCTTTTATGCCAATGTAGGGGATCATTGTCAATAACACTTAGGCAAGTTAGACTTATGCTTGGCAATAGATCAAGATCAACCTTATAGGTATTTTCGAGTCTCTTGCCTTCTAGTATGACTTATTGTGATTCGTTATTAACAATGTGACATACATTATGATAAAAAACTACACTGTTACCTTGATCACAAAATTGAGAAATACTAAGCAAATTAAACTTTAAACCCTTGACTAGAAAAACATTGTCTATTGCATGGTCAGGCGACTTTCCGATTTTTCCCACAGCAATGATTTCTCCTTTACTGTTGTCTCCAAATGTCACATTTCCACTGCTAAATGGCCGTAGTGAGAGGAATAAAGATTTGTCTCCCTTCATGTGCTTAGAGCAACCACTGTCAAGGAACCATTGATTGTCCCCCTCACTCGGTGTTGTTCTAGGATTAAGGTTTAGTGTGTGGAACTCAGACCTGCTTGGGTTCCATTTTGTATTTATTTGAGGAATATTTACTATAATTAAAGCTTCTTTCTAAGGCATGTTGCTGAGAGTGACATTGATATCTAAGGTGACCGATTTTGCCACAATGCCCACAAATTCGGCTATCATATGTATCAATGTATTTGGTTTTCCAATTTCCACAAAAATATTTGTCCCTTTTATAAAACTCTCAGTTAGGTGTTTGTCCATAACCCGCTTTGTGTCTTTGAACCAATTTATCGAACCAGGTTGGTCCAGTTCTAGATTGCCTTTGGTATGGCCTGGAACGGGTTTGTCCTCCAGTTCTGTTACCATTAAAGGATTGGTTCTGAAAACCAGATTTTTGATTTATTTGAGTTTTTCTTGGAACATATCCGAGACCCATAGTCTCATTTTCCTTTCTTTTGTACCAAGAAGGTTCAGTTCTAGAATAAGGTCTAGACCTGGTTCTTTCTTAAGTACTATACGGCTGGTGTTCCGACTTATTTTTGAAATCTTGTCTCTCATCCTCAAGGCGATTAAGGTGTTCTATCAGCACACCAATGTTCGGAATTTTCGAAAGAAGTTTCTCACTTTGATCGACTTGTTGGTTCATGCTATCGAGCTTTAAAGAACAGATAATGTTGTCTTGTTCTAAAACCACTTCAATGTATTTAAGCTTCTCATCTATTAACTCTCCCACTTTAATTTCAATTCAAGCCTTAGCTTTGCTCGTGTGGTTTCCTCGAGTTTAGATTCTAGCTCAGTGATTTGTGATTTTAGATTCTCATTTTCAGAAAGATTTTGGTTAAGCTCGATAGTTAGCCTTTTAAAAAATTTCCGATCTTTGGTTTTAGGCAAAGAATCAAACTTAGATAGAAAGTTTTCCAAATTTACCTCGAAATTCTCTTGGTCGGATTCCTCGTCGGAATTAGCCATAAGACACAACCCTGCATGATTGGAATTCTTTTCACCTTCTTCCTCATCATCATCGGATGAGTCTCCCCAAGCTGCCATCATCGCCTTCTTGAGGTCTCTGTTAGACCCTTTATCTTCACTGGACCTCCGGTGGGAACCGGTCTTGTTCTTGTCGTAGGTTCTGTCATTTTTCTTTTGGGGACAATCTTTCGCCCTATGCTCAAAGGAACCACAAACAAAACAACCTTGGTTATTAAAAGATTCAAAACCCTTTTTACCTTGCTTATTCCGGTTGGCTTTGAATTTCCGGTACATCTTCCCGAATTGCTTGGCAAATATGCTCATTTCGTCTTCCGATTCACTTTCGGATTCTTCTTCTTCTTCTCGAGCCTTGAGAGCTATTCCTCGCTCCTTCCTCACATTTTCGGCATCTTGTTCTTCTTGTAGGCCTACCTCATATGTCATGAGTGAACCGGTCAAGTCTTCTAGCGTCTTGGTAGAGAGATCTTTAGCTTCTTCTATAGCCGTAGCTTTAGGCTTCCATGCGGAGGGAAAGCTTCTCATAACTTTTCTCACTTGATCTTCCACAGTAATATCCTTTCCAAGTGCTGAAAGCTCATTTATAATATTAGTAAAGCGTGTAATCATATCCCTAATTGACTCTTTAGGTTTCATCATGAACAATTCGTAATTACGCATAAGTATGTCAATTTTGGATCTTTTTACACGCGAGGTACTTTCATGCGTAACCTCGAGTAAATCCCACATTTGTTTTGCGGATTTGCATCCAAGAACCCGGTTGTGCTCAGCCGGACCAAGTCCACAAATCAAATATTTCAATGTTTGGGCATTATGCTCAAGTTTGCGATAATCATCAGAAGTAAATTCAGATTTGGGTTTAGGGACAACCTTACCTTCGGCATCCACCTTAGTGATGATGTTATCACCTGCCTCAATTACGTTCCATACCTGGTACTCTGGTAGTTCTCAGCCTTGATGAAATTCTCCATTCGACTCTTCCAGAATTGGTAAAATTTGCCATTGAACAATGGTGGTCGTTGAGTCGAGTAACCTTCTTCCAATCGTTCAACCGTATTCATATTGCCGGATCTCTTCCCAAGGTTTTACCCTTTCTGTGGTGAAGACCGGCTCTGATACCAATTGATGAAACGGTTAGCAAATCAAGAGGGGGTGGGGTTAATTGTGTTTGTGTGGAACCGTGCCAGTTTTTCGCATAGTTCTAGTGTGGGGTTCAGGGAATTGCGAAATAGTAAAGTGCACAAGAATTTAACGAGGAAAAATCCCTTGGCTCAAAGGGATTAAAAAACCTCGACCGCCCTCAGAGGAATTTTAAACAACTTCACTAAAAAGCCTTTTGTGGTTACAAGGTAAATTCTCCTAATCTACCCTTGAGCCACCCCAACTCTAACCTCTCTAGGAAGAGTTATGCATCTCTACCTTGCGGGTAGAGAGCCTCTCAGCTTTATGACAAAGCTCTCACACACACGACCCCAACCCGAGGAAGCTACACTTTAGTTTTTCTTCAAAATTCAATTACAAAATCAAGAAGGGAGATGAAACTCTATCTAGAACTTCGTGAGCAGGTTCAGGTGCCTTGGACTTGATATTTCTTTGTAAGTGTTTCTCTTTGTACTTGCTCGGTCAAGAACACTCTTCTCTTGATATTCCGCCCTATATATATAGCTGTCTTAAGGCAGGCCGTTTGTGCATCCTTCCTTGAATAGTTGTCCTTCCAATTTTGGGTCTTGCCTTGATATTTTGAATTTCTTTCCTTTCATGGCTTAGATTATTCTTGCAAAGATATGATCTTAAATATTCACATAAGTAAGGAAGAGTATGGCAAATAACCTTGTTTAATATAGCATATATTAACTATCACTATGCACGTTCAATCATCCACTCAAGTAATAGCACATATTCTTAACATATTGAACCATGCAACGGACTCTTTCCTTAAGAAGGATTTTCCTTCAATATTTAAAAAGATCTTCGCACAGGTGTGTTTAAGGAAACATTTTCTTAGCATATTCAATTAAGCTACCACCCGCAGGATTCTTGTATAGTAAAGGTAATGATTCTTTCCATAAGCACTTAAGCCATATTAGTTAACTCATTTACGTGAGTGATTAAACACGCATGGAAAGAGATGTTAATTAAGCCACGTAGTATCAAGGATATTAGAGCATAGATTTATCATGTACGCATTCATCATTCATGGTAATTTTTATATTCATAAAACTAAATATAGTGTCTATCCTTTGGATAGATGGAAGTTCTATCCTATGGTTCACCTACATGGTTAGATATCATAAACGTTTATTTGGACCATAGGATAGTTCCATTCCTTGTTTCTGTGAGAGGTTTAGTCATCAACAAAACTAAATACTTAAGAGAGGCATTGCTTCCATTCACCAGCGCAGACTCAAAGTGCTCTCTGAACCGTGCTGGATAGTCACCCATCACACGGCCCTCAAACCTAACCTGTGATGGATCCCGAGAGACAGTCAAAGGGAATGAAGTGTTTTATTGCGTGCGTCAGGTGAGTAAAACCATCTATTGTGAAGGAAAGAACATTGAAGAGGTTGTAAATGGCTTATGAGAGAGAAGAGGGAAATCTTGGGGTGGGGGATTATGCTTTTAAGTATATATGATAGTATATGTAAAGGAAAGAACAATAAAGAGGTCGTAAATGGCTTATGAGAGATAAGAGGGAAATGTAGGGCTGAAGGATTGTGCTTTTAGGTATATACTCCCTCTGTCCCTGAAATAACTTTCCACTTTCCTTATTTGGTTGTCCCTAATTTAACTTCTCATTTCCTTAAATGGAAAGTGTAAGTGGTTGAAATGCCTTAAATACCCTCAACAACTTACTCCCTCATTTACTCCACCCACCGCATATTCTACCTATCCTTTGCACGTCTCTCTCCTTTCTTCATCAAACTCTCTCTCTCTCTCTTCTTTCTTCATCATACTCTCTCTCTCTCTCTCTCTCTCTCTCTCTCTCTCTCTCCCTTCTTCATCAAAGTCTCTCTATCTCTCTGGTTCTTGGATGGCCTCCACTGATTCTGCGAATGTGTTACCAGCACCGGCTGAATCTAATAAGTTGCCCAATACTGATTTGAACACTGGTGCAACAAACCCTAAGCTGACTAGGGAGGTGGTGACCATTCTGAATCTGACTCCGACCGTCGATGAGGACGAAATTGAATCTGAGACATGCAAGGGGTGGAGGACTTCGGAAACTGATTCTGGATGGGCTATACGCAAGAAATGGGGATCCGATTGCACGGAGGACACTACGAGGGATTTCCATACTCAGACGGGTAAGAAGTCACCTCAAAGCCCCCATGGTCTCCAGATCCATTAGACCATGTGTTCGGTTACGATCATCGTCGTCCTTGGATGCCGTTTTCTGAGGGAAGCCTGTAACCTAGTCTCGTTTTCATTAAGTTGTGATGTATGGTGGTTGCTTAATGTTTTATTGTTGTTAAAAACTCTTGCTGAACTGATGCGTGTGATGAATACAATTTCTGTTGTTTTGGTTTAACCATGTATGCGTCATTTGCCTTTTCTTTAGTTCATGTTCCCATTTTGCCTTATATCAATGTAATGTAGCCTCTGTTATGCATCCTTTGATTCAAATCAGTGTGATGTAGCCTCTCTTTTACCTGATTGTGTTGATTACCATGGTGATTGACCTCTATGATGCATGCTTTGATTCTAATCAGTGTGATGTACCCTAAATTGTGCCTGATTGTGTTGATTACCATGGTGATTGACCTCTATGATGCATCCTTCGATTCAAATAAGTGTGATGTAGCCTCTCTTTTACCTGATTGTGTTGATTACCATGGTGATTGACCTCTATGATGCATGCTTTGATTCTAATCAATTTAATGTACCCTAAATTGTGCCTGATTGTGTTGATTACCATGGTGGTTGACCTCTATGATGCATCCTTTGATTTAAATCAATGTGATGTAGCCTCTCTTTTGCCTGATCTGATTGTGTTGATTACCATGGTGATTGACCTATATGATGTACCCAAACTTGAGTGTGATTGTGTTGATTACCATGGTGATTGACATATATGATGTACCCTAAGTTGAGTCTAATTGTGTTGATTACCATGGTGATTGACCTATATGATGTACCCTAACTTGTGTCTGATTGTGTTGATTACCATGATGATTGACCTATATGATGTACCCTCTTTTTTGCCAGATTGTTATGTCTTATTAGTCTATATGATGCATAACTTCATTGAAGTGAGTGTGATGCAACCTCTATTATGCATGAACTAATGATGAATGGTGTAGTAAGCTCTGAAACATTAAGTGATTTTTCTGACTCTTTTGTTGTTTGTGCAGATTCAAGGAGTTCAAAAACCACCATAGGGCCTACACTTCATTCTGCCATCTGCCCTCTTCATTTCTTTCAGCCATGGGACAGTTCGGCTGCACCCTAATTGTTCTTGTAGTTGTAGTTGAGGTAGTATAAATAGAAATGGGTGGAGGGAAAATTTGTAATTGGGTGAATAGTTAATTTTTTGGAGGGAAACTTTGAAAACTTGTGTGGTGATTAGTAGTGTAGAAGGTCAAATAGATGTAAATGTAATGAGTGTATAACCTTTCCATCCCATCATGGCTTTTAATTAGATTTATTTTTTTAGATTTGCACTGTTTATGCCCCCCCCCCCCCCAACCACCGTTCATTCACCCCTTTCCCTCTTTCCCTTTGGCGGCTACTAACTCCCAGGAAGGGTATTTTGGAAAGGTCAACTTCCTACTTTAACTTACATAAAAATGTGTGTAAGTCAAAGCGGGAAGTTGTTTCGGGGATGGAGGGAGTAGGATTGAAGTTTAAAAATTACTCCAAAATGAATACGAATCTGAGATCATCGCCCATGTATAGTATCAGAAATACAAAGATGAAATCTAAACCTAAAAGCTATGAACAAAGCAATAAATCCAAGTCATATTGAAAATATACTGACTAAATAAATACTGAAGCAGCCGAGCAAGCAAGGGCGAAGGATGAAGGGCGGAGCCTCAAAGCTGGGAAGGATGGAAAGTGCCGCCGGCGTAGGGAGAGAGAGGAATAGCCACACACGTCTCTGATTTTTCTATTAAACCGCTCGAATCGCCTCTCGACATAAGGCCATCACCTGGAAGCGTTGGACCGTACTTCACCACATAGACGTGATCGGAAGCCGGAAGCAGTGGAGGCAAGTTACGATTTTAAGCTTTCGGAGAGACGGAAAGTGTGGGGGAGGGGTAGAGAGAATGAGAGGGCGTGAGGCTGTGAAACGAGAGATGACAGATGAAACGAGGGAGGAAAGGAGGAAGGCTGCAGCAATAATCAATTTAGGTTATTTTAAACATAAAAAATTCAAAATGAAAAAGTGAAAGTTGAAAAATAAATTATGAGGATACATAAGTGATAATGTGAAATGCACTTAAGAAAGATGGATCATTGGACCGGACCGGATATTTCCACATAAATAATTGCTATAGAATGAATCTATTTTATGAGTAGGATATAAAGACAAAATACAATAAATGTGAAACGTATACAGAGCTATGAGTTCTTCATATATACTCCGTATTATTACATTTACTTAAACGTCGTATTAAAATGCTCCTAGTATTGTTTGATACTAGCTAGTATATATCATTGATAGTTGAGTACTACAAGGAGGTCTTTGTATTTGACTCTATAGTATATTATTATTTCATTATTATGATATATATTGTGTTTGCTTGCTTTTATTTTCTTTCATTATTGATTCATATTTATGGGTTGAATTGGGTTCTTTTAAGATCAATTAAGAGAGATTTATCTAAATAGGACTAAAATAAGGTAGAATTGTAAAAATAGGACTACTATGTTTTATTTAACACAAATAGGACTAAAAAGAGGTAATCTGACAAAACTACCCTTAATTAAAAAAAACCACCTCTCTGCCTTCTGCAATTCATCGGTGATTTCTCCAGAGCAAGCTGCGATAATTTCCTACCATGGATTACAGCTCCGCCGTCGATTGTGCCCTCGCACCACATCGGCGTTTGCCGTAGTCCTGCACTCATCAGCTACGAGTTAAGTAATCTCTTCTTCTTCTTCTTCTTCTTCTTCTTCTTCTTCATCTTAACTTCCTCTTCCTCCATCTAGTTCTCTGCTTTTTATTTTTATTTTTTATTAATCAGATTTTAAATAAAACTTTGATTCTTGAAAGTTTCAAATGAAGATATATGTTATCAATTTTTAGTACTTTGAATCTCAAAATGCCCTGACTAATGATTCTAGAAAATGTCACTTTTTGAATAAGAGAATTTCATAATTATTGGGTATTTTTACAAAATGTCACTTTTATGTCATTACAATATTTGGAAATGCCATATTGAGAATGTCATGTGTCTATACGAAATTGTCATTATTGTGTCATTATGCATAAGGAAAAACATGTCATTTTCAAGCTATCCTTAAATGACATAAAAATAAACATGTCAATTTTTTAAAAATGACATCATGTGTGCTGTGATGTTAAAATAAAGTTGACATTTTGGAATAGAAAGATGACATTTACGGTTGTTACAGTTATTAAAACAAGACATAATCTGAAATTCAAAAGAAGCACAAAACATAAAAGAAATAGGGGGAAGAAGAACAAGAAGGAGAAAGAAGGAGGAGAAGAAGAAAAAGGAGATGGAGGAGGAGAAGAAGATGATGATGAATACATGGTTTTGATGGAGAGATCGTTGCAGAGGTGGCGGTCGACGTCGAGCAGCCACCTGCGATTATAGCAAGTCGGTCGAGTTGCTATCGATGGCGGTTGAGTTGCGTCCATGGAAGCTGAGTCGCAAGGGGAAATTGTAATCCCAGGTCTCGCGATCGGTGCAGAGAGATTGGGGAAAAGGTGATTTAGGGATTAAGGGTAAAAATGTAATCTGGAGTCCCATTTAAGCAATTTAAAACTTCAAGTCCTGTTTTGGAGTTTTAACCATGTTTTAGTCCTATTTAGAACAATTTCTTATCAATTAAATGTTCTTTAATGTAAGTGTGAGTGAAAAAGTATCTCGTTGCATATGCTTCCTTCGTTCGGCGGTCAACTTTTCACATTTATCGAGGTACAACTTTGACCTCTAATATATACAATTCTCTATTACTAAAAAATTTTAAAAAAAAATCATGTTTTGAAAATTTACAATGAGACCAAGTTAACAATATTTTAAAAAAAACATTACATACATTAATAAATAAAACGTAGTCAAAGTAGAACATGTGAATAATATAAATCCAACATGTTGCATATATTTAATAACGGATGTAGTATATCACAATTTACTATGTAGTATTATGTATTAGGAGTATATTTTATGTTATAAATTGGTGACACAAATATTGTAGTAGTGATACGTTCATACCATATTGACATATATACGAGCCGAGTACTACGTAAAAATTAGAACCAAAATTAAATACAACGACAAATGTGGAGATGAAGTTTTGTTGCATATGAGAAAAATTGACATACAAACTGATTTGGCAGAACCTCATTAATTGAGTTTCTCCAAATTTAAGCACAATGAAACCAACACTACTCCAAACAATCATAGGTTGGGGTTTATTTGCTGACACATACAATTATCATCATTTGGAATGGGTTAGACATTCAAAACATATAATTAGTCATCATTGCCTCTACCATAACCGCAATCAGCACTGCAACTATCGTTACCGCCACCGGAGCCACAAGCTGATAAAATCACAAATTCACTCTGGGGAGTCTTGAGCCTGTAATTCCTATCCTTGGATGGCCCTTTATCATCATCAGGCACTTCTTTCTTTTTGAGAATATCATAGAGTATAAAAGCAGTCACCAATACAGGCATAAGCAGCCCCTCCTCTTTCACCTATATTTAGAGTGTATTATACTGTTTATAATGTATATATATATACCCCTATATATATAACTCCAAATATAAGATATATTAAGCCAAAGTTATATTATTTAAAAAATCATTTACATTTACTACACCAGAATTGAGGTTGATCATAGCCACTTCCTTGCCATATGGGTGTTCAGCCGAGAACTCTATTGCGGTCATGAATTCATTTTCAGTTTTCTCCCAATGCTTGAGGTGAGAATAATCCAGCTTCCAACCAGGGAAATACTTAATCTGTTTTATGAATTAAAGTTAAATAACAAAGCTTCTCTGCGCGCCGAAAACAATACTACGCATAACCACATTTTTTCACGGCTGGACAATTGTCCTACGGAGTACGGTGGATGGAGTATTTTTTTTCTTGTGCCACTTTCTAGTATTGTAATAAAAAAGATATGGGGCAGTTTCCATAAAAGATAAAATGTGTAACTTTTTATTTTAAAAAAAAAAACTCTGGTATATATCTTCTTTATTTCAATTGAAACAGACTTTTTTATGTGTCATAATATAATTAGATTAATATATTTTTATTCATCCAACGTGCACATTTTAGATTATGGCTAAATTAGGGTTCATATTTATTTATGGATAAACGAATTTAAGTGTTTTATGTTGAACATTTTTTATTATGGAGCAAATAAAAAAATAAATTGCTCTAAATATGAATAATAGCGTTTAATTTGTGATATTTAAAATAAGACCGTCATTTTTCTCACTTATTCAAAATCTATTTTTTTAAATTTTTTTACTAATAAGGAATGAAAGATATTAATAGAACGGAGGAAGTATATTTTTATAAAGAAGTACTCCCTCTGTCCCGGAATTATCATCATACTTTCCTTTTTCGTCTGTCCCAAATTTATCTCCTTTTTCCCTTTTTGGCAAAGAATTTATGGTTCACAACCATTCTTACACATTTCTCTCTCATATGCACAACTCAACACCACACAATTCCCGCTATCTTAATATGTGTGCCCGGTCAAAACCGAAGTTTATTTTGGAATGGAGAGAGTAATAGTTTGTCACGTGGCATCAAACAAATGGATGAAGGATCAATTTGAAATAATTAATTGCTAGTGTGGCGCGTGAATTGTGCAGCTACTATTCATCTACTCTATGCATCAATTTTGGTTTAAATATAAACTTAAATGGGCAAAATATCTAGTCTAATTAATTAAATATGTGTAAATATAAAATAATATTAATTAAATAAATACTTTGTAAATACACACAATTCCACGCGCACAAACACATACGTAGTATGATGCAACATACGGAGTATTATACTCATGTTTTTATTACTCCGTACTTGTTTTCACTTCTTAAACATAATTTACTATTCGAAAATTGTATATATATTCATGTAATTTATGCTTCTACGTGTCCATTATTAATTAATCTTGTAACTTTATTCACAGTTTATAAAGAAATTTTTATATGCACCAGAAATTTTATGATCTAGTATGATTTTGTCTCATCTTCTTTGTTTAAATTTGGTTTGTTTGGTAAATGTTTAGTGTATGCATATTTTACTATTGCGTAAGTCTATTATGCTCTATTTAAGTCGTATATTAATTCTTATTTCGTCTGGTCTCGATCTGGAATCAATCCAACTAAGAGAATCATAATTAATATATTTATCCACATTATGACCTTTTCTATAGGATTTTTCAAAGGAAAATTTCACTCCATCAGATAAGATAATTAATGATCGTTTGAAAGTTACAAGACTGAATATTAATTCAAGTGAAAAAGGTCGTACAAACCCTCCCACTGTTTCTAATCCACCGCTTAAGTTCTGGTATTAAAAAAGTATCATATAAGTACTCTTACATTAAAAAATTGATCAAGGTGGCAAATTATTCAATTTTTTGACCTATAATAGCATATGTTTATATTTCAAAACTCTAAAAATTGTTAAAATTTGAAGAAATATAGATGAAAATTTTCAGAATGTCAAAATCAATATTTTTGAAAATTTTAAATTATTAGTATACTCTACATCTATTTATAGGGGTTTTACATTTTATATTTTTTATTTTTTACATTTTCACTTTAATTTTTAAGTTTTCTGATTTTTTTTACATTTTTAAATTATTTATATATTTTTACATTTATTCTATTATTGATATTATTATATTATTTTTCAAATTTATACGAATTTTTATAAGATTTATTAATAACCCTAATTCATATTTTTTAAAAATAGTTGTAGCAGGTCAAAATGACTTGAATAATTGTATTTAGAAGTAAACATGTTTATATGATATTACCTCCGTCCCAATGGACTTTGCACTCCTTAAGGTAGGTGAGAAATAAGAATAGTAAAAATTGTGTGGTTCAAGTTTGTGCAGAGGAGAGAGATATGAGTAGAACCACAAAATAATTACTGTAATGGGAAAGTGGCAAATTTTTTTTGGGACAACCAAAAAAGGAAAGATGACAAAGTCCAGTGGGACGGAGGGAGTATCAAACTAAATGCATGCTCACAGATTGGGAAGCTCTGGTCATCTCTAAAAGGTGACCATCATCTTTATCATCATCATTTATGGCTTTCGGAAAATAAAGAGACCACTCAGCATTTATCAGTGACCATTTCGTCCCTCTCAACTCAGCCAAAGTAAATATATCCCCAAATTTAGTTAGAGCAACGACTTCGCCCTTTGAGATAGAATCTGATTTTCCCTTGGATTCACTGTATGTAATGAGAACCATATAAATATATGTGATTTGTCTGTATATATAACTAATTAATTTCAATCCAAGAGTGAAACCATCAAACCTTTGGAGTAATAATGAAGACAAAAAATAAAGGTAAGTTGTGTATTTTGTTCCATTTTAGTTTTTTTTATATCTCATTGAAAAGATTAAATTTCGTTTTTTGAAGTTACTTGTTTTTAAACACGAATATGAAAAATATAAGTAATTTCAAAACATGAAGTTTAATCTTTCCAATGAGACAAAAAAACTAAAACCGAACAACTCGGTCGGATTCATAATTGGCATTTGACCGGTGACGTGACGCTGACAGACTATTATATGCAAAAAGTGAAAATTTGAACTTTTTTGTTGAGTTCATGATGTGAATTAGAGATTTTTTAGTTCAGAGGGTAAATTGATCTATCAATTGGGACATGTATAGAGACAGACCCTTTAGCCTTTAGAATATGAACAAAAATGATGCATGCATGCAATGTACCTCATTCGGAGGTGGATGATCTCGTCACCACATTCGTCTACGACGCGGGTCCATGGTTTATCCTTGGCAGTATCAAGAGGGAATAGGAAAGAACTTTTAGAGTTTGGTGGCTGTGGAGAGGCTGGAATCATGTGAAGCACATACGGTGTCATAGTTGGTATGGCAATTGAGATTGCAATTCCCAAAAACATGGGCTTTGAGACCATGGAACTATTGGAATCTGCAGGAGTTACTCCTATTTCAAACCATTTCTCCACAGCCATGGGCTTATTATTATTTTTATTAGAACCTCCTGCTGACAACAACTCTCCTAAAGAGAAAGAAAAAGAACCCATAGTCTTCTTCGCATGAGAGAGTGGGGGAGTATTATTGTTGGAGCTCCATGGTTCGCTCAAAAGTTCAAACATCAAATTCCCACTAGGTTCGCATTGGAAGCAAGCAACTAGATATTTTGCACCATTGCTCACAGTAGTCATCGGCGATGGCGGTGAAATGTCAAGTCTTCCCTTCGCATTAAAGATTCGATCTGACCCTTCCTTACTGAATGCTACAAACAACCTCCTCCCCTCCCCCTCCGGTACATTCTTTACACCAACAATCTCCAACATTACCTACGTATACAATATGTAAATATATCATCATCATCTGCCGCAAAGGCTCCCACCTATGGTGGGTAAGGGGGGGTCGGATGTACGCAGTCTTACCCCTGTACTAAAGCATAGAGAGACTGTTTATGAATGACCCATTGTGAAAATCGCGTCAAAAATTGCATAGGTTGACTGTTACTTCACAACAGAGAAGCGCAGACATTTTAGTGAGCCATTTTGCTTTATTCCATCATATTTCCAAGCCAAAAAATAGTGAGTCTTTGGCTCCATTGAAAATGATGGAAAAGTGTGTAAATATATACTACCTACGTTCTCTTTTAATTGTAACATTGGACTTTTTGCACTATTCACATATTCTACTTTGACTATATTTTATTAATTAATGTATTATAAATTAAATTTTTAAAAAATATTGTTAAATTCTTCTCATTCTAAATTTTCAAAATATGAATTTTTTAATTTTTTTTACTAATTAGGAATGAAAGATATTAATAGTCAAACTTGTGCGTTGACAAACGTGAAATGTTGACTGTTGCAATTAAAAGGGAACGGATGAAGTATATTACGTAGTAGTAAATTTAAATACTAAGTCCGCAGTATAAAATATCAAAATTAAAAAACAAACATATCATGTTAAGGGTTGATAGAGATAGATTGTTAAAATATCATATTTATTATACATATATACATACCTCAACAACCTCCTCAGTTTCAGGAAGACGTAACAGTCCCACATCTTTATTGTTGATGTTTTTGTTTACTACAGTGTTATGGTGAGAAAGGCCATCATGATAATCTTCAAGAGTTAACAATGAGTTGCGTCCGTACATCTTAGCATCTCTCCAATATCTACGACTATATGTTTCTTCCCAATGCTTTGAGGTCGTAGAGAACCCTATTTTCAACTCACTTTGTTCTTCTCTGTCATTGTGACCCGCAACCTTGCCAAGTAGTTTCGTCAGGTCTTTGCAGTAGGAAACGGGATGTAATTGATGAGTGTGCCATATGAGATCAATGTCTCGAGTTGGTACACGACTGACGTTTTCTTCACTTCTTTTGATTAGATGCAAGAAGCCTTTGTATCTACCCACAGCCCTGCTAAGGTAAAGTTCGCTGTACACTAGCGGTTTTGATACCTACATGCATGAATGGTTGATTGTATTGTAACGAGTTTTTACACACACACACATGTATACAATGATTATGCTGCGTGGAATGTGTGTGTGTGTACATGTGGTTTTCTCCAATCTTTCCAATGGAGGGCATGCAATGTGTGTGTGGTTTTCCTTATAGAGAATCAATTTTAATAATGCCCAATATCTAGTGTTAGAAAATGTAAAAGTAGAAGTGTTGCAATAAAAAAAGAGAAACTTCCTTACATAGGACTAAAACATAAACAAAGTTCACATATAGAACTATCATTGTTTTCTTCATAAAATAGGACACATTCAGTTCTAATAGAGGAAGTTTTATACTTTTAATAGGATCAAATAAGTACCATTTCGGGAATAAAATATATGCAGTCCTATTTGTGCATGTTGTCTAAGTTTTAGTCCTATTTAGAGCAACATTTATAAAAAGGGAAAATTCTATGGTACCATTAAGTGGACCAATTAGAACATTGCAGTTGAATTATTCAAATTCGTACTATAAATTAGGTGACAACTACGGTATCCATTTAAAAAATGGAGTACCCTATCTATGATTCACTTGATTGGTCCAAATAATTATATCATTTTTAATTTACATTTAACTCATTCGGCTGCAATATTCGATCTGATTGATCCATCTTGACAAAGGTAAGGTATTTTAAGGGTACTCATTCTTTAAATGGATATCAGGCAGTCAGGCACTCCTCGACCTAAATAATGTGCTCGGTAAAAGATTGACACAATTACTGGAGTATTATTTATAGGTTTTAAATCTTTAATTCAAATAAAAAGATTATAAGTCAATGACAACAATTCGGGTGTATTATTTATAGGCCGGTTTTAAATCTTTAATTCAAATAGAAAGTAACATACACAATTGACTTCCTATCAGGTACTTCTCGATGGGATCAATGTATCATACACATTTACTACATCCGTCCCACTAATATTGGTACAGAAGAAAGTAGCACAATTATTAAGAATATTGTATTTATGTGGTTGATATTAATTGATAAAGTAAAAATAAAGTAAGAATGATTTAGAGCCACATAAACTTTATCAAATTTGGTATGAGATAATTTTAATTAGTGGGATTTCCATAAAAGGTAAGATGTGACCATATTAGCTAGCGGGACGAAGGAAGTATGATTTATGCGTACTTCCATCATGTACAAGTTGGCGTGACATTATGTGTCTTGATCAAGGTGTTGCTTGGCAACCCAAATAGGTCACCTCTTGATTTAATCTATACAAAATAGGTAGATATATGTACACGTATATACATAGGGATGACTTTTTCCTGTAAGTCCTGCTTCACAAGAACTTCCGCCCGACCACCTTCATTTGAAGTACTTTCCAGTAGTCTTTTTATATGAAATTTTGTGAGCATATTGTTCATGACGTGTAGAAATTTGCAGATTTTTTTAAAAGAAATTTGCTAATTTCTTAGAGTACGATCATGTAATGCTAGGTGAGGGAGTTTATATTAAACTTTTCAAGCTTTCATAGAACGTGAGTACTTCCAATGGCGTTTCCAGGAATTTCCATCAGCGATGGTGAACTCATACTAATTATCTCACGCATTTCAAAACAATGACCACGTTAAGAAAAGTAGTTTAAAATCAATTAAAAAAAACTTGGGAAAAAAATATTACGATATCATAATTAAAAAATTCATGGAAGATAAAATTTAACTTTTCTAAAAATAAGTTTTAATCCCACGTTTTATAATTTATTCAAAATATTTTTAACAATAAGAATCAAATAAGGAATGAATCACATATTTATTTAGTATTATTTTAATTAAGTTGTGAATTCACAAGTATATTGAATACAAATACTCCGTACATATTACGTGTAACAATGTAACGGTCAAACTTCACAAATCATAAATTATGTGTGAAAAATTAAATTATTTTGAAGTAGTTTAAACAAGATAAAATTTGAATGTATGTCACTTTTAAATTACTTTAGAGCTTAAATAGGAAAAGTTATAACAAAAGTAGATAACAGAGAATTATTTTATTTAAGGTGTGAAATTTACAAGTATATTAAATACAAATACTCCGTACATATTACTTGTAACAATGCAATTGTTAAACTTCACAAATCATAAATTATGTGCAAAAAATTAAATTATATTTAAGTAGTTTTTTTACAAAGCTTTCCTAACATATTATAATATATGTTTAATGATAAGGCTAACATCATTGAACTGAAATGAGATTCGAACATGTGACATTCTTTTCTAGAGTGCCACAATGATGCAAACAGAGCACATACTTGACTTTATATTTAAGTAGTTGAAACAAGCTAAAATTTGAATATATGTCACTTTTAAATTACTTTAGAGCTTAAAAAGGTAAAAGTAAAACAAAATTAGATAACAAGCAAGCATATGGGATTCTAGCCCTAGACCATATTACCAAACCAATACACGCATGAGTACCACCAGTCCACCACCATTATGCTACGTTAGATGTTTGTAAATATACTGTATAAGATACCTATATTTCATAAATATCTACATGTATAATTTAAGATTTAATATATATAGGGGTTGGATGGGGTGCCGCATGGTAGATCCGCCTCTCGATACTTTTATTTGTGCACTTTTATTATGTTTTACTACTATGTGGATGGAGCAATTTCTTTTTCACCAAAACATGTCGTTAATTACCTTCATGAAAAATGAACTTTGCCTCTTCACGGCTGAAGCTAAGTCATAGTCGCTGGTCCTGCACTTTATATGCTGATCAGTTGTTTGTGAAGGTTCATGGCGAGAAAGAGCTCTTCCTACCTCCAACTCAAACGGTTCACTAGGATACAATTGTTTCCACACTTTTTCTGTTTCCCCTTTAGGCATTCCTTTAGTAGAAGAGACCACATGATTGTTATCAAGAATAGTTCCATAAAGCATCTTGCAGTCAGAGATGTATTGTAGCTGCAAATTAAATGCACAAATTTGTGGTAATCTATGCACATTTAATTATGAAAAATAGCATGAAATAATAAAGTAAATTTTTTAAAAAAATTAAAAAGAGCTCATTTGGTAATACGGAGTATTAAATAATTAATTAATGGCTATGACCTATAAATATTAAAAAAAAACGTACTGGATTGAGCCTGTGACAGTGCCAGACCCATTCACAATCAAGAGGAACAGTCAGGGGGGCTTCAAAGAAGGGAGATTCAGAATGCTTTGCTACAATGGAAGCCAATATGAATTGTACCTGAAATCGATCAGCATGCTACAAGTTAATAATTGAGGTCTATCAACTTGTAAATTAATTGAACTTGTACTTTTGACTATCAAGCGACAAAAATATTGTACACACAACAAATCCAACTAATCAATTAACTAATAATTAACTAAACAAGTTGGCTTAATAAGAATGGAGATGATTTAAAAAAATGGAGATGATTTTTTTCTCATAAAAATATAGCCATCATTAATGAGGCAATAATATATATGGCTATTAGCCCTAAATAAGAGTAAAAGTAGTCCTAAATGTAACAATAAAACTTAATTCCTTTTGTTCCCAAAATATGATAATACATACATACATACATACATACATACATACATACATACATACATACATACATACATACATACATACATACATACATACATACATACATACATACATACATACATACATACATACATACATACATACATACATACATACATACATACATACATACATACATACATACATACATATGTTCATTCTTCCTATTGTACCCCCTTCGGCCCTTCCTATAATTTCTTATAGATTTAATTTATTAATAAGAAAATTATAGTTTTATTTATAATAGAAATATAAAAAAATGTTAAAGACTATTTATCAATAAATAATAAAAACAAGAAAAAAAACAAAATTAAAAATTAAAAAATCTATAAAAATAAAATAAAATACCTAAAACATATTAAAAATATGTAGGCCACCTCCACCTCAGGGGAAAACTTTTCTTCTTGTGTAAAATGTCACATTCTTCTGAAAATTTCATGAAGAAGACAATTTTACCCTTTGAAAACGTTTAATTTTCTTTTCAAAATTTCTATCACGATAGACATTTTTTTCGAACTTGGCATTCTTTTCTAGCTATCAGATGTGACGGTGCTGGAAGATAGCTGATATGGTGATTGATGTCATCTCTCTATTGGCTTCAGACAAGAACTCGCTAGGGCAGTACAAAAGCCTAAATGGGAAGATGAAGAAACTCATGACTAGGGCTGGTCCATTCTCTAAGAGAGGGTAATTGGATAGCCCATCACTTGGCTAAATCTACTTTGGACTCGGCCCACCGAATAATTTGTTCAATGGTAGATGATCTTCCTTATAAGGCTTATCATGCCTATCTTCTTGATTATTTTGGGCTTCCTCATTTTTGTTATACCTAATGGCTTTTCATGTTGTTTTGTTTATTATGTGTCTGTTTTTTAAAATTGGGTCAGTCCACCCAATTTTTACGTTATATTTGTTTTCGTTGTATTTTTAAAAGAGGTTTGGTCTAGTCCCTCTGTCAATTTAGTCCTCGTACTATCAGGAAAAAGTCAATTAGGTCCTCATACTTTAAAAATAATCAATCAAATCCCCGAACTCTGAAAAAACGTTCAATTGAGTCAATTAGCAGGTTACCCGCCATGTAAGCAGGTCACCCACTGACGTGGCGTACACGTGGTGTTCCATGTGTGTGTCACATCATCGGTAAATGGCTAAGTTTCCACATGTGCACCACGTCAGCAAAGTCACTGCTGACTGGGTTGCCGCATGTGTGCCACATTAGCATGTAACTTGCAGATGTGGCGGATAACCTGCTAATGGACTCGATTGAACGTTTTTATAAAGTTCGTGGATTTGATTGATTGTTTTAAGAACAAGAACCTAATTGGCTTTTCCATGATAGTACGAGAACCAAATTAACAGTTTTCCCTTTCCTTTTATTTAGTAATACTTGGCAAATGTTCCACGACATTTGTCCCACTAATTTTGGTGGTTGACCTTCCGAGTTAAACAACAAGAAGATTTAGTCCTATCTTGGCAATTTCAACTTTTATATCCTATTGTTGCAATTTTGCTTTCAATTAGTCCTATTTAGAGAAACCTCACTAATATATATCATCCAGACCGCTAGTCACGGCAACATACTAAAATTCACAGTGAGTATGTTGGCATTGGCATGCTCACCCTTAATCTCGTATTATTAATTAATAATTAATACGCTCATGCTAGTTAAGAAATAAACAATTACTTGTGTAATTAATCTTGTAAAAGTTTGGATTGTTAATCATATATGACAAAAAATATATTGATTTTTTTGATTGGACTAAGATTCGCTAGTTGGTTTACTATATTTAACTCGATTATTATGTTTGGTACAAATGTGTTTTACTATTGTTTAAATCTGATTTGATCATTTTAAGTCTACTTATTTGATTTGCATTTTATTCGGATCGTAGTGATTCAATAATAACTATTTAATCCGAGTGGATGGAGGCCGGATCGGACTAGCTATAGGTGTACACATATAAACATACCTAGTGATGGCCTTGTCAAGACCGGGGCCTTCATAGAGCCAACGGTTTCGGTCAACGACGCCTAGAAAATAGAGTTGTTGCTTGGCTGCAGCCACAAGGTCTAGGCTTACCACAATTTTTTGTGCCTCGTCCCACTCCAACTGTTGTTCCATCTCCATTCCCTAGCTGAGAGGATTTTAATGCAATTAGGCACGTACTATCAGTGATAGATTTACAATTCAGGTTTTAGGTGTTCATTTTTTTGTACAATTAAAACTTGAAAACATAATAAGTAATTAAATTAAATTTATACATGTATGCTAGTATGGTTTTCAAAATTTTAGGTGTTCACTTGAACACCTTTGAACTATGGTGGCTCCGCCGGTGCGTACTAAAAAGTTATTACATGCATGCATGACCAGTGGTCTATCCAAAAGTTTCTCTTAGTTGGATGAACTCACATTATTTATCTCACATTTTTAGACAAAGGATTATATATATATATATATATATATATATATATATATATATATATATATATATATATATATATATATATATATATATATATATATATATATATATATATATATATATATATATATAAGTTAGGACTTAAAAGATAGATGAATTATCAATCCGGGACTCGAAAAATGAACTGTAATTGTATAGGATTCGAATGATGGAAAACTATCAATTTAGAACCAAACATTTTATAGGTTTTAATTTATTTAATTTTTTATTAATTCTATTGCTAATTTTTGATAAATTTTTCTTAACGAAAGTTTATTAGTTTAATTACAATAAAAATATTTAAATTTTTTAAAATAAAAAAAATAATAAATTCATGACAACTTAGGTCCTAGATTGATAGTTTTCAATCATTCAGGTCCTAAATTGATAGATTTTTTATCATCGGGTCCTATATCGATACATTTCATCTTTCAGATCCCGAATAAAAAATTCATCTATCTAAATAACAAATATTCGTGGAACAAAATATTACGAGATCATAATTTAAAATTCAATGGAAGATAAAATTTCACTTTACTCAAAAAAAATTGATCAACTAGTATGCATTTTTTAAAAAAATTATGGTGACAATAAGATTCAAATAAGGAATGAATCAAATATGTTTTTGGATTAATTTAAGTTAGCGGATTCACAAGTTTATAAAAAATAAATATACATTAAGCATAACGATGTAATAATTGTAATTATATTGAACAAGTTCAAACAAGCCAAAATTTGAATTCAACTATATAAAGTCATTTAAATAAATTTAGAGAATAAATTTAGTAGCTCTTAGCTTTGGTCTTATTGTGTTATTAATGTACTATCGTATAAAATATTATAGAGAGGAATGATCCTATCCAGCTGGAGGGACAGCACCATCCGTCCGGCCGCCACAGTTCGGGGCGGTTCTCGAAGAAACTTTTTGATTAAATGTTTTGAGAATGTTCTTAATCAAGTCTATTTTATCTACAAAAAAGTGTAGCTCATAATTTGATCGGGAAGACAATCAAATAAATTCTTAAAGATAACTTTGCCAAAATTTACATATAAGACGTAATTATTTTTCAAAATTCATTTAATTGATTGCCTTCCCGATTGAATTTTTAGCTGCAATGTTTTGTGAACAAATTAGACTTGATGAAGAACATGATCAAAAAAATTTATTAAAGATTTTCACCGAAAATCACCCCAAACGGTGGCGGCCGGACAGAGGGCGCTGTCCATCCGGGTGGATAAGATCTTTTCCCCCACACACATAGACACACACACTGAGGTTGGATAAGGGTTGACCATATATGCATGAGTGCATATAATGTATATTAACTAAAGGCGAGGGGCGGAGACCGAAATGCATTACTCCGTATAACTTATAAGGAGACTGAAAATATCCATTGATGTTTTGAGAAAGCCCAAAACATCAACATATTTTTTATAGATTAAAAACTAGAAAATGAATCCGTGCGTTGCACGGGAAAAATCAACTTACACTACTCAAATAAAAAAGAGATTGAATGAATATTGTATACTACCTCCGGCCCGGGTAACGGTCCCAGTTGAGTGTACGATATTTGATAGGTCATAAACTTAAATGATCCTTGTTAATAATAAAAATTATTTTTAGTAAATAAAATTTAAATATTCAAAAAATACATTAAAAGTCTTGTAAAGTCGCAAAAAATTCAAATTTGATAAAAATTAGATATATAAAGAAAAGATTAAGAAAAATTTACGTTAATTTTCATCTAATTTTTTATTTCATTAATTAAATATATTTTAAATACGGAGTATAATTTTTCTATAATTTAGCAGAATTAGAAAATTTATTCAGTTCAGCTAGAATTTTACAATTTCAACAGTTTTAACCGATTATGTCAATTACAATGTTACTTAACGAGGTCTTATGAATAAGTACTACTTCACTTGACTTCCATGGATGCCACTTATGAGAGAATGAGTTTTCATGAGTTTTTTAGTGGGGCAGCAAACCGGTTCGGTTTGAGTAAACCAAATTGTACCAAATTGAACCGAAATCAAATCATACGCGATTTCGTTTGAATTTAGTGGTATGTCTTCCAAATCAAATTAAATCAAACTAAAATTAAACAAATTGAGACCGTGAGAAATCGAATAAGGTCGAGCTGAACTCAAATAGTCAATAAATTATTAATATGTTTTTAAACATAACAAATTCAAACCGAAACGAACTAAATTAATCCGAACTAAACCAAAAGATAGTATGATTCCAATCTGTTTCAAACCGAATCGAATTGATATTAAAACCGCAATGAAACCGATGTGCTCACCCTTGTATTTTTTTAATATAAATTTGTTACTCAATGAGTTTTATTTTATAAGAGAAATAATTCTTTTCATCCTCAAAATGTGTGTTTTAAATTGACAAAACTATTTGTTTACTTTTCTATTTTATTCTTTATCTACATTTTATCCACTTAATTTTTGTGAATTCAGGCTACTTTTTCATATCTATTAAATCTATAAATTGTAAAGATGAGGTATTCTATGTACGTAATTACAAATTTGAATATTTTTCTAGAATTATAATTGGATTCAAGTAATTATGGACGTTGATAATGGACTCCTTAATTTGTTCAAATTTTATTTTATGTGTATTTACCTTTGTGATCACATATATGTGGTACAACAATATATATGGTCCATAAAACGCATATCTTCATTATAATTCGAGTAAATTTAACGTTGGTCGAAAATTGTTCATCGCAAAAAGTCAATTTTCTTGTAGTGGATTGAATTGTATGCCTGTTTTGATTATATTATTATAAAATTGATATTGATATACTAAGTTATTGTACCTCAATTTAAGTAAAAAAAGTTATTGTATTTCGATCATTTAGGTCTCATGCATTGGTCAATATATAGGCGTACCTCAATTTAAGTAAAAAAAGTTACTATAGCTCGAGCATCTCACATTCAAGCATCTCCTTTAGTATGCATTGCTTACCATATATAATAAATAACTTAATTGAATGTTCTGATTTGAAAAATGATTCAATGCGGGAATAGGCGGGAATAGGCGGGAATAGGCGGGAATAATTGGAGAAATCCAATTGTCCACCCAATTCCTTTATATTATATAAAGATATTTACAAATATATACTACTTGTGTGTGTTTATAGGACTTAGGGCAGATAAAATACAAATTGTTTTTATTGTACAAACGTTTGTACGATGAATCTTGACGTTATTTGTATTGCATATTGAGCGTCAAGGTATGATATATTAATTTTTTTTATCATAGGTGTTGTATATTATTAAACCATAAAATAACAATTCTATATTAACACGATAGATATTTTTAAAACTCTAGGTCCTTAAACACTGACAAGAGTTTTTTACTTAATTAATAAACAAAATGGTTTCAATCAACTAAAAATTTAAAGAACTACTAAAAGTTGATGAAATGCAGAAATTCGCTTTAGGCTTGATTAGGATCACCATTTTTTTAGTTTTTTTTACTACGCACGAGAAAGAGCGGAAGAGCCAAAGAGGAAATAGGGAGGAACTTACTGATGGAGCAGAAATGATGAGTGATTAATTATGACGGTTGCGTTCCTTGCTAACTTCAATTATTAATTGGAGTAATAGATATTTGTTGGAAATGAGATGGGTGGTATTTATAGCTAATTAAATACGGAGTAATATGCAGCCCTTGCACCGCCATCGATTCACAATTAAATTCATTTTCTTTTTTTAATGCTCTAAAGTCTAAAGTAACAAACTACACATACAAATTTGAATTAGTCAATCTGCTTTTAGCTGAGTTTATGGTGTATTAGTCATTTAGGCGCCATCTAAGCACCTTTATTATTTTATTCTTGTAGCTTAGTTATTTTCAAAAAAGAAAATTCAGAGGCGGGCCGTCCAATCACACAACAATATGACCAATTTAGGCGCCGTATAAGCATTTTTTAAATAAAAAATTGGCTTTTATATTAAAATCTTGAAAAAAATACAAGATAACGTTTAGACAGTCAGACAGTTATGACATATTTGATTGTGACCCTTGGATATAATTTCGAAATCAGTCACTTCATACAAAGCAACCTGATTCGCTAGACACGATATGAACAATTCAAAGTCTAAAACGATCGGAACCGAAATACTGCATATCAGACGTTATGGCAATTTAACCCGACCCGGTGGATACCCGCATCGAACCGAATCGGACAAAATGGGGAAAACCGCTTTGACTGGGTAACGGGTACGGGGCGGGGAATACCCGATTTATGTAAACGGGTAATGGGGCGGTTATGGGTTTATACCTACCCGCCCCGTTACCCGCCTCGTTTAATCTGGTTACGGTTACCCGCACCATTACCCGACCCGCACAATTAACTTACATATTCTAATAGTCTATGTATTTATTATTTAATATATTTAGTATATATAAATAGTAATACATTAGTATGTGCCACTTATTCCCTCTAATTTTCTGAAAAATATTCAACTAATCGGTCATCCTTTGCAATTCTGAGGAGTTGGTGCTCAAAGTTCACTACTTTAGATTTTTAATTTTCAATATCATTCATCATCCTTCCTTTGTTAACTTCAACGAGATTTATTTTCTTCACATATTGATTATTTGATTTTCGTGATTTTCTGTACACAATTTTCACACTGTGACTCTCTTAATTTTCATAAAGCTCACATATGAGTTTAAAGTCCAAATATTGGGAAACATTACCCTAGATTGCTTTAATTTATGTAATTGCTAATAATTTTGTAGAGGTGTATTGGATGATTAGATTAATTTTGATTGGTTGCTCTTATTTATATCAAGTTTTAAATTTATATTATGAGGTTTCTAAAACAGTAACTACAAAACTACCTAAATCATAGTATTAGAAGTACATTTTTTAGAAATAATTCCAAATTTATAATCAAAATAAAAGTTGTGGACAAAAATGCGACCCTAGTAACTTTAGTGTTTATTATATTGTAGTGACTATAAAACTTACCTATGGTAACTTATAGTCACATTTAAATCCATATATTTTTTATTAGTAATATTTTAGGAATAAAACTTCCCATTTTCATTATATTACTTGTATACATTACTGTTCTTAAATTTAGATGTTGAATGCTGGTGGGGTATGCTTATTGAATTTTTGGAAGTTAAATAATTTTTTGATTCATATTTAGATTTTACTATCGAGATAAAACTTAATTTTTTGATGTTGATGTGGTAAGAGATTCATAATTTTGAATCTAGACATATATAAATTGTGAATATTAGGTTCAAACGATTTTAATTTTTTGATTATATTTGTGACATCCATCTCTCACAAATTCTTTTCTGATTATATTTATTTTGTTTTATGGTGGTTCTTTCCCGAGCACCGGTGACTCGGGATGGTTTGTCTCTCTCGACGTGGAGAGTTCTATTGAGTCCCAGCTAGCTTTGTCCGATCAAGGGTTTCTGTCTGTCTTCATTTAGAGTGTGAAGACATTGGTAGAATTCGTCTACTTCCAGAACCACCTCCATGTCATGAAAAGTTTTGTGGAAAAATTTAATCTCAATTTTTTTTCATTAGTAATACTTGTTTTTATTTTAGTGAATCGGATTGCTTTGTATGAAGTGGCTGAATTCTAAGTTATTCCCAAGACTCACAATCAAATACTCCATATGTCATAACTGTCTGGACGTTACCTTGTATTTTTTCTAGATTTTAATATAAAAGCAGATTTTTTATTTAAAAAAATGCTTAAATGGCGCCTAAATTTCTCATTTCTCATATTGTTCGTGTGATTGGACGGCCCATCTGTGTTTTCTTTTTTGAAAATGACTAAGCTACAAGAATAAAATAAAGGTGCTTAAATGGCGCCTAAATGACTAATACACCATAATCTTAGCTAAAAGCAGATTTACTAATTCAAATTTATTCCTTTAATTATGTTCACATTTGACTGGAATCCTAATTTTAATGTGCTATTAGAATATGAGTTTGGGTAAAATGAATAAGCACCGGCTAAAAACCCTTCTGAAATAATTTCATAAATATCACCAAAATAAGAATAATTTACAAAAATATGACTAGTGACTAGAGTAGTAATGAAATCATAGTAATTCATGTTCAAGATTTGAGCTTAAATTACCACAACACCACATTGTAGTAATGAATAGTCATATTTATGTAAATATATTTTATTTTAGTAATATTCTTGTAATAAAAACCCTTCTATTAACAATACTCCTAAATTACTTTCACAAACATTAAATTAGATATCAATAAATTAAACTACTCAAATATCCAAATTAGACTTGGTAGAGCAAGATAACCGCTATTACGGAAATAGGAAAGCCAGGAAATAACATTTTTTCAAAACTATGCTTCTTCTTTTTTTGATGAAAGTAAATCTATATATAAATGACACCAAGAGTACATCTTGATAGGGGCATTCCCCAGTTTGTACATCAAAAAACAACCTACAGCAAAATACTCTCAAATTGAGGTCTCACAAATCGGAACACAACCTAACACCAAATTGAACATAAAGAAAAACCTGCAATTGTTCCAGCACCATAAAAAACCTTCAAAAATCAATCATGGCATGGGGATATAATTTATATAATATTCTATAAATCACCACCTTAATTTGTTTTAACATATCATCAGCATTAGTGTTAGTACCCTCAAAGATGCCTTCATTTCTTTCCTTCCATATGGTGTATACCGTGCAACCCAAAGCAAGCTTTATCGTTTTGCTCTTCAATCTTGCACCTCTAAAATCTCTCCTCAAAAACTTAACAGCACTGTCGAGAGTAGACATATTTTTTGTCACTCCCAGCCAGCAACAAATATTCCTCCAGATGAAGCCAGTAAATGGGCAACTAGTTAAGAAAAGGTGGTCCACCGTTTCAAGTTGTCCGGAGCACCATCTGCAAGTTCTATCCCCTTCCAAAAACCAGAGATTCCCTGTCGTTGGTAGCCTATTCCAAAAGCATAGCCAAAGAGTGAAGGAGAACCTAGGTGGTATGTACTTTGATGGATAAGTGTACCCGAGGGTAGCTTATCCGAGGGGTTATTGTGGAGAATAACTAGAGAGAAGTCAGAGCAAATAAGCAAGAGAGAGAGAGAGAGAGTATATTCGATATGTGAACTTGTCGTTTTTACAATGGGGAAATGAGTTGCTATTTATATCAGGCATAAATGCTAGATAGGGACACATGTCAACATTCTGGTGGCCGAGGGGTCACCTCAATCGGGGTGGCACTGGCACTCGCATGTGCACCACATTAAATGCGGTAGGTGGATGTGACGTCGCATTAAATGCGGTGGTTGGCTGTCTCTAAAATAAATCTTCGTCGATAGTTTTGTGGCCGAAGGCATTGTCTGGCCGAAGGCATCATGTGGCCGAAGGCATTGCGTGTCCGAATGCATCATATGGCCAAAGGTATTGTGTGGCTGAAGGCATCATGTGGCCGAAGGCATTGCGTGTCCGAAGGCATCATGTGGCCGAAGACATTGCGTATCCGAAGGCATCATGTGGCCGAAGGCATTGTGTGGTCGAAGGCATTGTGTGGCCGAAGGCTCTTCACCTATGATGTCTCTGGGCGGGTACTAGGCCGAAGGCTCTTCTAACCGGGGGCTCCATTATGCCGAAGGCTGTATGTGCCGAAGGCTTGGTTTTAAGCCTTGTTCTCCTGTGATGTCTCTAAGCTCGATTCCGTCACTGGTAGCCTTCGGCCATGGGGCCGAAGGCCCCCCCTTTGCGTATTATGGGATGCTTAGAGCTCCATTTTGCTGGGCTTGGCCCGTTTGGGCCTGTTGTGCCTAATTGCAGTAGAGGAAGTATGTGGGCTGGGGTGTCCCAGACCATATACTCCATCAGGAGTCCCCCACTCCTTTTGCCGAGAGTTTCTCGAGGGAAATAGGAGTAGTGTCTTGAAGTTGCCGATGGCTCCCTTTCTCAGCTTGCTGTAGCTGAGAAATAGCAAATTTTTAACATTTGCGTGTTTTGCCGAGGGGAGTCCCCCAATCCCCCACTCCTTTTGTTGAGAGCTAATCGAGGGAAATAGAAGTAGAGTGATGCATGCCTTCAGCAGGAGCCGCCAAGGGGTGACGCCTTTTGTTCCACAATGGGGAGATGCCTCGTTAAAAACCTCATTAGGAAAAAACCCTGTGGGAAAAAATCCTAATGAGGGAAAAAGAGTACACCGGATGCCCCCAGAATGAAGCAAAAGGAATGCACCCTTCGGCCTAGATTGTTGAGCGGTGGTTGTGTCAGTCTGCTGAGGGGATATCCTAGACCAGCCTTAGATCCTGCATGAAAAAGCTGAGGAGCTTGTAAGGACCCCCCGTTATCAAATAAAGATGACGAAGGGGTGCAAGGCCAGGTGGGCCTCTGTGATAGCCCCTGGCATCAAATAAAGATGCCGGAGGGATGAAGGCCGAGGGGCCTGTGTGATGGCCTCCGACATCAAATAAAGATGCCGGAGGGATGAAGGCCGATGGGCTTGTATGATAGCCCCCAACATCAAATAAAGATGCCGGAGGGATGAAGGCTAGGCCGAGGGGCCTGTGTGATGGCCCCCGACATCAAATAAAGATGTCAGAGGGATGAAG